GGTATCTTCATCCTTTCATTTGCAGCTATTTCATAGACATATTGCACACTTCAATTGAACAGCAAGCGAGAGAACGTCTGCATAAAGTTTTGGCAGATTACTCCTTTGTAGCTTCGGAATATCTGTTAATACATCGCCTTTGACATGTGGTGTCCTGGACTGGCCTTACAATATATTGACAACATAATAATAATAATAGTAATTCATTCTACCTCAAGCCCTCAAGACACTCAAGGACACCGCACAGAAAAACAATCAAGTAGAAACAAGCAATAAAAACAGAACAAACAAAATGGACTTTAAAGTGAGGGCTACTCAACATATCATCACATAATCAGTATGTGTATTGGTAATAATAGTGCAAATGCTTAGAAACAAAGATTTGTTGGTCACTATCTTGAATAGTGATGAATTTAAAGTTAGTTAGTACCTGTTTACAGTAAAATAATATGAAGCTTTAATAGTCAGTAAGGTATGTCAACTTTTCTAATTAACATTGACTAGTGTGATTGTCTGACTGGCATATTGATAGTTTATTTTCTGCTTTTTCTTTGATGTACCTTGCATATAATATACAATAAGCATATTTTTTTGAGAAATACAATCAAAACTTTTACAGCGGTTAAGTTATTAGTATTTTCTTGATTTTTATGCCGCCTTGCTTTTCCAGAAGGAAAAATGTAAATACTTTAAATGTGTCTTTCTCAGTACTTGTTTCACACAGGAAGTTCTTTGGTGGGACACTGCCTCCTACCTCCAGCTCCTGTGTAAACAATCATTGATTTCCAAGTTCATAACTGAACATATGCAAATATGACAGTGGTTTAAATATTTTTTTAAAATGGCATTTGCAGAAACTTCTATAACGTTTTTGAAATTGTTTTAAAATGGTAGAAGTCTGCTTTGGCCTTCAGCTCCTATCTGCATAGCTGTTGGCTACATCCTCCATGGCCAACTAATCATGATGTACACTTAATAAAGACACTAAGATACTTTATCTTATCAGATATATTATTAGTTGCTCTTAGCATGACAAAAATCTCGCTTTGGAAATCCTCAAATATCCATTTGAGGACATTTTCGAATATTTTCTGTGCAGCACTTTACAACGAGCGAGATTATTCTTTAAAAGTCATTCAAGACAGTCAGAGGCTCCCCAGGAGAGTACATCCCAGCAAGTTCACCTCAGGGTCAGACCCTTTAGCACTTCAAGACGCTGTGGAAACCCCAAGAGCTCCATCTCGGACTCTGCAGGCCTCAGTAAGCATGTCAAATGTTAAAGTTAATGACAGCAGACTGCCAGAATAAAGGCTCTTCTCTTTAAAAGGAGACAGCTTTGTTAGATTTACAGCTGCATCTGCAAAATATACAGGACTCCTGTGACAGTGTCCAGATACCAAAGTGGGGATAATATTGTAGCAGGTAAAGACCTTATTGAAAAAAAAAATAAAAAAAAAAAAGCAACTGATGGCCGACAGTGTTGAAATCTTGCCATCTGTGCTAAAAAGTCATATTTTATAAATGAAGAACTCAAGGTTGATCTGGTAGGCAGTTGGTAGAAAAAAAAAATGCTTCCTACTATGTAGCTAGGAGTTGCCATAGGAATTAATATTATCTCTGTTTAGCAACTACTCTGTGGCCTCCAACATTTTGGAGATTCTTCACATAGTCCTGCCACTAGACAACACCTTTTGGGATAACAACCACTGATGTTACAAACTTGTCTCTCCTTCAGTCACTTTCTGATGCTGGTATATTTACCAGCAGCAGCAAACCGAGTGCGGGGACTTGTCTTGTTTACTATGGATGAAATGTACCCAGTCGATCCTTGTGTCACAGCACTCCGGTAAACAGCTGGGGCAAGCTGATGCTTGGGTTTTGGTGTCTGACCTGGCTGTGTTTGCTCAGGGAGAGAGCAGGAGGGAGGGGAGTTGTGTAACTACTGTATGAGGAGAACAACATGCCGAGCCTCCCTACCCCCACTCTCCGCAGTTTGACGTATTTGGCTCAGATTATAGTGATGGTTTCTTTTCCCACCGTTTGAGTCCGAGGTCCGATCTTTCAGCAGTTTTTTTTTCTAACACAACACTGTCTGAGCTTACACATGGTCGAAACTCGAGCCTTCTGATGCATCATGTTTATTCTTGGCCTTCTACTTAGAGAACAACCAGGATGCTGACGTCTGCCGTTCAGAGGAACCCCTTGTTAGGAAGTCCCACTTCTTTAAAGAGGTGGAAACCTATAATGACCTGCATAGCTATGTGTAGTGAGCAGAAGTGTGGAAATAGGCCTGCATTAGGAGCATCTATAAATAGTAGATTGTATCCTTGATACCATGGGGTTGTTTGGTTGGGCAGCGAAACCCGGTCGACTTATATGGATTTAAGACAGTGACTCCCCCTCTTCCCCCCCTACTGCTCCGCTCTCCTTTGGCAGAAGACATGCATGTTTGGAATTTTTCCGCATTGAGGAATCTGTTAAAATGATACAGAGGGAGCAGGCATCCTTTAAGGAGAAGGCTCATTAGAGTTTGCTTTGGCTGCCCCCTTTTGGTAGAGTTCCAAGAAAATGAACCCCATTCTGTCTTCTTTTTTTTTTTTCCCTTCAATGCTTGCAAATGTGCAACACTACTCTTCCTAAGCCAACCGCACTAACGTCAGCATAGTAATTCCAATCAGATCCCAGCTGTTATGCGAGAGCCAGCATGTGTTGATATCTGATGCTGTTGTTTAAAAACGAAAGGTCTTTGGCTTTTGCTTTGGATCTAATCTATAATAACTGGACAGCCGCCAAACTTGTCAACCTGGTCTTCATCTAACTCAACTTTTAAGACCAAAAAAGACAACAACAGGCTTCTAGCTGCCTAAAGAAACTGATTTTTTTTATTTATTTATTTATTTATTTTTTGTAGATCTATAAAGTAGTTCCACGTCAGTATGGTTAAATTTGACAGAATGTAAGGAGGAAAAAAAAAAACTTAAAGTGTTTGAGAACCTTAAGGGAGTGGAGGCGATCGATATCTTTCTCTTGTAAAGTGAAACGGCAGTACAGCTGACTCTGCTCCTTGATGCAATTGTTCTGCTGCATTGCTGTATTGCATGATACCATGCAAAAGTCAGAATGGATGCACAACAACGGGCAACATGTTTTGGACTAATTTACAGTCTGAACTAAAATATGAACTGTATGAAATCTTGTAAAACCGAGCAGGCTGGGCATGTATGTATCACATGCACGTCACAATTCACCTTGTGGATCACACCTTGTACAGGTAATGGCCAACCCTTGTAGAGGGTTGGGAGGAAGTCAACAACAACATACGTAAGCAAAATTAGAAAGAAAATGTGTATTTTGAACATGAAGGCAGTTCCTAAGTAACCAGAAAATCTGTTATTTCAATGTAGTTTAGTCTTATTGGCCACATGGAGAATTTGGTTTTGCCACACCCATATGGAAAGAAAACCACGCAATCTGATCTGTGATTATGATGACAATTAGAGCATGCTAATGTTTGAAGATCTTCTGTTTTCATCCATATATGGAAGTGCTTCCGTCTTCACAAGGTGTGACTCAACATGTTCTTTGTGTACCAGAAAACACTTTTTGACACTACTTATTTGCTTTAAAAGAAAAGAAAAAAATAAAGAAAAGGTCAAGTGTAATTTGTGAATGCTAAATGCTTTCAAGGTTCAGGTTGGACTTTTTTTTTTCCTTTTTTTTTTTTTTTACAGAAAACTAATTGTCAGTCACCTGCTACAACTTTTTGTATACCATGTTTGTTGAAGATGGTATCAAACTGTTGCATGATATTGACAGCACATTGTTAGGCTAATAATAGTTAATAACTAATAGTTCTGTTGCTCAAACCTAATTTGAAACAGCCCACACTTATTTTCTCTAAACCTGGAACGATGCTATTTTTCTTGCTTTAAAGAAACATTTGTAGTCAGGGTGCAACCAGCCTTTATTGTTTCATAGCTAAATATAAAGTCTAATAGAAAAAATATATAAATTGGATTTTATATATATATATGTATATACATATTTTTGCTTACATAGTAGAATGATGTACAATATTTCTGTTGTCTAAACCTTGGTAGCTTGAAAGCTGATGCCCATGCTTTATTTTGGAGGAACGGTTTCAGAAGCTATTTACACATTCATGATGATTTTTGATCTTATTTGTGTTAAAATATCCATCCAGCTTTATAAGAAATGTCTTCATTTTACTTTAATCTTGGTGGTTTTCCATGTCATTTGCAACATTTAAGTTCCCACAACTTTAACTGATGAAACCCTTTTAGTTGCTGTGTCCCTAACCTCCAAACAATAAGTTGTAGAGAGAGTCATTATTAAAGGATAAGATTGTCCTCATATCAAAAAAATGCATGTACAAGCGGATTTACAGATGTGACAGTGAAACAGTTCCAGTGAGGCATGTTTTTGATTATTCTTGAGCCAAACATCAGAACTGCTCTCGTTATAATAGTGGTAGCACCGCAGCATTACAAACTAGGGCTTTCATCAATAAACTGGCTAAGTCAACTTTTTATTTTTTTATTGTTTCTTGTTTTTATTTACAGTTTGCAACTTTTAATAATATGTGCTAAGTAATATTGAAAAGAAATTAAGCAAATTAAAGTGTGTGAAGATGAAGCGGTGAGCTTATCTAAAATGTGTTTGAAAATAATATTAAAAAGTCAGGAAAGTGGTTGAAGAAACGTCACATCACTGACATTTGATTGTGTAGCTGATTTGTTGTGCTTCCAATGGTGCATCTCTTTTTTCCTCAAAACTATGTCATTTAGAGTACAGTGACATAAAGCAAGCTGAGAAGATACTCAAAGCAATTGTTCATGAAAATATTTACTTAGGCTTTTGCCACAGTTTGTCTGACATTGTCTATTTGTTGTGTAACTGTGCAAACTTTTTTTGGGGGCCGGGGGGGGGGGGTTATTTAATACTAACTTCCTTCTCATGTATGTCTATGTCCACCACAGTGTGTCCTCAGCAGTGCAAGTTGGCCTGTATGGACAACGGGGAGTGTTGCCACAGTCAGTGCTTGGGGGGCTGCTCCGAACCCAACAACGACATGGCCTGCTCGGCGTGCATCCACTACAAACACGAGGGTCGCTGCGTGTCGGACTGTCCTGAAGGCACCTTCATGTTCGAGGGCTGGCGCTGCATCACCAAGAGGGAGTGCTCTGAAGTGCACCTATCCAACGACAATCCCTTTGTCATCCACAACAGAGAATGCATGAATGACTGTCCCTCTGGCTTCACTCGCAGCGAAACTGATCGGTAAGGACGCACACCTCAGACTTGTTTCTTATTACGTGGTAAAGCCGTGAGAGGTGACATATGCAATATATGATTTTTTTTAAATACATGGCTCAGCCTTGTCAAAGAATGTTTTAAGGTCTGAACGACATCTCCTTTGTATTGCTGTGTTGCTGAATCTCACACAGAACTGCTTCTTGGTGAAATTTCCAATGAACAGATGTGCGCTTACACGGATGTATTCAGACATTAAAGGACCTTGTAACCAGTATGCGCTTCTGCATTATACATTCTTTTGCATAAGGCATCCTTGACTTGAACTTTACCTGACCTCAACTCTTCACACGGATCTTTTCGTAAAGTAGTTCATGACGTAGGAAGTTAACATGGTGCTGAGCAATTAAAGATTCATGGCCAGACTGTCTGTACAGTAAAATGTCCTCAGCACAGAGCCTTGTTCTCAACTCTCACACCACTGGTAGATTTTACAGACAACACTCACCAGGGACACCTTATTCTACTTCCTTTGCATGCAAACATAGAACTTTGAACTTTTTCCTCAGTTTTTACCTGTCACAAATGTGGCACAAAATTGTGAAGTGAGAGGTAATTCACACACAATTTCAAATATTTTTTACAAATAAAAGTCGAAAAAGAGGTTCTTGCAGTCCCCCGTTTTAAGTGGGGAGGCCACCACTCCAGTCTGCCCATCCTATGGAACTGACCCCAACATCCATATGATGTTACAGAGCCACATAAACCAACAGAACCCCATAGCAGAGCAAATCTCATTATCCACCTCAGTGACCTCAGCGACCTAAGAGCCTGACCTCAGATCCCCAGACTACACTTTCTCATTAGGAGACATGATGGTGAGATTGAAGAGGTCTGCAGAGTGTTCCGTCCACTGATCCATGACATCCCGAGTCGAGGTCAGCAGCACAACATCCCAAATATAGAGAGTGTTAGTGGAGTACTGGTTCACCTTCCTGAGACGCCGCATGGTGGACCGGAGGTGTCCGCCATTCGAAACTGTACAAACGTTGTCACACGGCGTCACAGAACTCCTCCCACAGAGATGTTTTTCCCTTATCAACCACCGGTTTTGCATTCTGCTGGAAGAGTCGCACAGGCCAAAAAGGCCCGATAAGACTCGTCTGCATCCTTCACAGCAGGTCTCCGCCAGCGAGTTGTAGGGATACTGCAAGCACCGACCAACCTGCAGCCACACCTCCGGTCAGCTGCCTCAAAAATGAAGGCATGGAACATGGCCCACTCCGACTCAAGGTCCCCCTGCCTCCCCAGGAAGTGTTCAAAGTTCTGCCGGAGGTGGGAGTTGAAGGTCCTTTTGACAGGAGACTCTTCCACATGTTCTCTGCAGACCCTCACGATACATTTGGACCTGCGAGGCCCGACCCATATCCTCCTCTACTTGCAGCAACACATATTAAATTGCCCCTTTTCCTTCCATTCACGATTATATTTTACTCTGTGTTGATCTGACACATAAAGTCCCAATAAAATACAGTGAAGGTGTAAATACTTTTGTAAAGAAAAAAAAACTTTCATTTTTCACTGTTTCTCTTTCTGATTTGTCTTTTCGCAAACTTAAAGTTTGGGCCTGTCTCTTGGTTGCTGAATCTGTTTCTAGCCTTTGCATGTGTTTTGTCTCAAAGGTTGAAACACTGAGTCACTCTCTCACGAAACAGTTCAGTCGAGGTTCCATAAAAGATTAAACTGTCCATGTGAGAAGTGACCTTTTATCATTCCCTGAATTTATCTGCCTGAATCCTCTGGAATGCTTTTGGGCTGAGAGAAGACAAATTATTTCAGTGTGAGGTAGAAAATGTCACAAAAAAAAAGATGTTGTTCTTTCTTTCTTTTGTAATAATTCCTCTCTCTCCACCCCCGCCCCCTCTCCTCTCCTTTTGGCTTTTGTCGTGTGCAGCATGCTGTGCAACGCTTGCAATGGTCTGTGCGACAAGTTCTGTAGGGCCTCTGTTATTGATTCTGTGGATGCTGCTCAGTCCCTGAAGGAGTGCACCGTCATCGAAAACAATCTGGTCATCAACATCCGCAACGGAAGTGAGTGAATCTAAAACCGTGTGCTCTTTTACACATCGGCAGTGTTTGGCGGTAAATTCCAGAAATGTTTGCTACAAAAGTAACTGAGCAAAGTAAAGGGAGGATTTTTTTTTTTCCTTTGAGGAGCAAATGTAATGTTTCTATTTGTTTTATAGAGTAAAACTTAGCAAGGCCTCACTCTGCATGTTTGCCTTTATTTACTAGTATTAGAGAATTTGTACCAACAATCAGCTTTAAGTAATGCATAATTTTGAATTGCACAGAAAATAATATGTTTTCAAAAAATATATATGCTGAGTCGTGTGGTGTGCAGCTGTATTCAACCCTCCCTAAATCACCTATTTCGAGCTGTCAATTTTTAAAATGATGTTCAATTGCATTTAATTTTCATTTGGTTTAGTTGCAATGGATATCTGGGAATAATTTCAGTGCATATTTGCTTTCTGTCTCTACTCTTTACAGTTAACATAGCCTCGGAGCTGGAGACCTTCATGGGACTGATCCAGACAGTGATGGGATATGTGAAAATTCGACACTCTCACTCTCTCAGCTCGTTGTCCTTCCTCAAAAGCCTCCGATACATCAACGGGAAGGAACTTATTGAAGAGTAAGGCTGTGTGAACCTGGTCATATATGCACAATTTTTAAAAAATACGAGAGCAAAGAATGTTTTATTTTTTACTTTTGCATTAATGTGTATAGAGCCCCCAAACATTTAAAAGCTTTATAACAAGATTATTTATCCATTTTTACAAATTCCTGGGTAGATATTTGTTTAAAAGCAACAAAAAAAGTTTTATAATGAGGGAAGAGACTACTTTTATTTAAATAAAATTAGGCAAATTGATTTATTTCACATTTATGAAATTATTGTGAAGCATAGCACATCATGTCTGCATTATTGTGACATTAATGGACTCAATTAAAAATTAAAAAGCAAACTGTTGTTCCTTGTACCGTTAGTGGTCTTGCATTGTTCTGTCACTGCGTTGCATTTTCTTGCATGAAAACAAAATGGTAAAGCTGCTGAAGGTAGGCTTTTTAATGTTCTTTGGTCATTCCTTATTTCCATATCATTTTGGTAAGTTATCAAGAGCCAATTTAGTTGATCAAAACAACCACAGACAGACCGGAACTGCAGGTTATAAATCCTTAGACATTATGTCATTCTGCTCAAAATAAAAAAATTAAAAAAAATTCTCACTTACAGCACAGTTTGGAAATTCTCCCCTTGATTTGGATTGTCTCCAGTAGATCTTTTTACCAGGCCAATCAGCAAACAGAGAGAGAAGTTGTGAACAATGACAATGATTTTCTACTCTATTCAGTCTATGTTGGTCACGCTTCCAAAAATTGAATTCGGATCAGCACTTCTCTCTTTGCAGTAGAGGAGGGTAGTTTACAGTGCAGGCAATTTCCAGTAAGCGTAGAACTGGAGCATCACTTATGTCACAGACAAATGTTAGCAATTGGGTAAAATTTAAAACTTCCATAGCGTCCACGCATCCAAGAAGCAGTCATTTCTCAACAGTCAAGACCTCAATCCCTCCGGAGCAAAATGAATAGGACAAGGGACTAGTTTTTACTAGGCTAGTCTAACCCTCATACTGCATGTAAGCATTGCTGGATACATCTTCACTTAACAATTTCGTGTCAGGTTCCAGATAGCGAAGTGTGTTTGAAGACATTATAAGTGGCATCTAAGCAGACTGGAAAGGTTCAGGTTTGCTAATGTCTGTACTTGGATATCAGCAGCAGCCTTAGATCCAAAGCAGAGCTTTTTTCTTTAGCTGAGGGGGTCATGGGAAAGCCTTGTGTCCCTCTTGTTATCATTTCTCCCGGTGTTAAGTTTCTCTCAAAGGAATGCTGTTGAGGATGGCAGACATTCTCTTCCCTCTGGAGGCTTTATGCTTGGACTGCTGGTGCTAATGGTGGTGACATGACACAGTGTCATACCAACGCTCATTGTTAGGCAGACACACAATTCAGAGCCCACATTTATGGTCTCCCATTTTGGTGCACAACACTACTACGCTTAACGATATTTAATAACCATTTGAACTGTCCGTTGCTACACACGAGTTGCTTAAGAAAAACAACTTGTTGCAACATGTTTGTGACCGTCTGCTTATCTTCTCTCATTATCAGCACATATTCGTTCTCCGCCGTCAACAACCAGAATCTGCAGTCCTTGTGGAATTGGACCCAGCACAACCTGACTATTCAGGCAGGGCGTATCTTCTTCCGTGGAAACCCGAAGCTCTGCGAGTCTGAGTTTCACGCCATGTGGGAAAAAACGGGCATAACTGTAAAGCCAGAAGAGGGTGATTTCCGTTACAACGGTGAAAGAGCCAGCTGTGAGTGAACATTTTGCTGAATTAAAAAAAAAAAAAAAATTGTTAAAAATGTCCTTACAGAGCCATATTTTCGTTTTGTAGGATTTATTTAAAGGAGGCTTACGTGACAGGATATTCCAGTGTTTCTGCACATTTCTGTGACCTGGAGAGCCTAAAAAATAATCCATATTATTAGATCAACAAGAACACCAGAGATTAGACTTCTGGCCTGTTTTACATTAGCTAATGTTATAACTGAAGAGCTAAGGCTAAAGGGATTTTAGGTTGGCTTATAACCACAGCAAGCTGCCTTAGAGTTGTGCAATTAATCAAATTTGCTATTTAGTTTCAATTTAAACTCTCAACAGCTCAAAATAATTAGTATTAATAATCATTTAGGGATGTTTTTTCTCGGTAATTCCTCCCTTGCTTGGTTCGTGAATTGCAATGCAGTGTTTTCCAACGCTGTGAGAAATCTGGGTTGTGTTGAGAATGCGAGATATTAACTACCTGTTGCTCATTGTTATCTCGTCTCCCCAGGTCCGTTAATGTCGTGTGTAAAAGTAAAACCATGAAGACAAACAGTCTCAACTTCACAATCATCCAGAATTTTATTCAGGCAATCAAGTGCATAAACATCACATCAACAGCTCAACATAATCATCAGAAACCAAAGCCACAAAGAAGAAATTAATTACCTTAGAAAAACACAAAAATACAAAGACGCGCCTTCGGAGACCACTGTGTGTGGCAGTTAAGACAGTTCCACCTCAGTGATCTGATTAGCCGTTTTAGCTCAGTGACTTTTATATCAAGGCGTGTTTCTACTGTCTGATGCGTCTAACGAACAGTTTAGAGATGATCTCAAACAGCCCTTGTTGCTGTTAGCACGCCAGAGACCATGCAGGTGTTACCAAGGCCAAGGGATGGATCTATCCACTCTCTAAGCTATCCTCCCTGCACACTTTCCCAAGGGGGCAACAGTAGATGTGTTCATTTTCATACAGAAACATTCTTACTCAAGAAAGCGGGACCAAAGTTTATCAGCTATCTGTGTTTCTCATTTCAAACTGCCTCAAACTGGTTCCTGAACATCACAGAACTCTGCTGACCTCACCTCTGACCCAGTGCATCAAACAGCAGATTTTGATTATAAAAATTGGCACACATTTCATATAATATCTTCAAACTCTTATAAAACAGACATGAGCAGTTTCAATACCAAAACATCTGTTACACTCAAGATTTTCTGATTAGTTTTCAACTCCTTTGGTTATAAAGAACTAAAACATTTTCAAATGAATATATGATTTATAGACTCTTAAGAATGTGATCTAATATAAAAAAAAACTACTGACTAATTTTAATCAAACCGTGATCATTATATCTAAGAAAAATGTTCTACTGATTAAGTTATATATTGGTTAAACTATGAATCTAAATCTAACCAAAAATTGAGGCCTACTCAAAACAATCAGGATCAGTCTAATATTTCACCATGCGCTAAAGTTAAAGCTAGCATTAGAACTAGCATAATTAAACTAATATTTCCAACAGTTGACATTCAATATAATTATTGTGATTATGACTTTTTTGTGTTTTGTTTTTATCAATAAGCCTTAAGGTGATTCAGATTTTTCTCTCAAGAAGGTTCTTGTCTGAGAACGTTTCCCTGATCCTTGTCTTTAATGTTTCTGAGACAAAAGGACTAGATCCTTCTTCAAACCTACACAATGATTTTTGCTCTCTTGCCTTTATTTCAGTTTCTCAGTTTCATCATATATGGAGAAGTCATGTTTGGATGAATTTGTGTGAGCAAATAGCGTGTTATTTAAACTAGGTATCATCCGAAGGAGGATGTGTTTTTTTTTATACTGCCTTAAAACTACAAACCTGAGAAGATGTAGTTCTTTTTAATTAATTAGTTAATTTCTTCTCTCATAATATAATGCTATGCCTTGTTTGGTTTGCATTGCTTTTAACTAAAACAAGGGTTTTTCTGGGGGAGGGTTTTCTGAGCAATCAGCTTGGTTTGCTTAGTTGCTAGCTAGCTTGTATCGAGTGAACTATTTTTTCGTCCAGTTTCTTTCCCTGTTGTTTTAAAGAAGGACAGAGGCACGTAAATAATTATGGGTTGTACAACAACCTGTGGGCTGCCATACATGAACTGAGATGGAGCCAAACTCATTACAGCTATATTCAGCTGTTCGAAACAAAAAAAAAACAAAAACAAAAAAAAAAAAAAAACGCCCTGCAATTTAAGATGTTTGGTCCCAAATTAATAGATACAACCACATCTGTTTTCTTCCTTGTGTTGTTTTATCAGCCAAAGTTCATGTTCATCTAAATTACAGTGTGCTTGTTTCATGCTTTTTGGATTTGTGTTTTTCTCCTCCAGTTGTATGAAGTCCAATGCACTTCTCATCAGCAGTGATTTTATTTTCCATGGTTGCTTAGTTCTGATTTGAAGAGCTGATGTAATCTATTCATTATTTGCAAATGCTACAGTTGCTATTGCTGCAGTCTCCTTAAGGCTCCTCTGACAAAGCTCCAGTTGACTCTGGCAATTTAAAAATTGTGGAGTGTGAGGCAGCAGTTTAATCTTTCTCTGAAGCCTGTCCAACTAGCCACTATCCATACCGTATGTAAATGTTTTGCAGGGTACTACAGATAAGTGACGAAGCTGTACTGCAAACAGTGTTTTAATCAGGTGAAGAGTGGTTCTGTTCTTTAGTGCAGAGTTCTGGCTATGGTAATTTGTTGCTTTTTTGAGACTTTTGAGAAAAACAGCTGAGAAACGAGTCACATTGCCCTTTAAGTTGTCTCACAGGGGCAGGGGTCTGCTATGTCATTACAGGTGAAAGTCACACCTTGAAGTTCAAGTCCAACATTACAACAAGCAACACAATCACGCTGACATGGGAACGCTACCAAGTCTCTGACCGTGGAGATCTCTTAAGCTTCATAGTCTACTACAAGGAGTCGTAAGTGCTCAACAATCTCATATAAAAATAAACCCCTCATCACACATCGGTTTGTACAGGATGCGTCATGACTTTAGATTGCCAAATTCTAATTTGACATTTTGCAGATTTGTACCGAAGCCTTTCGTTTGAATCGGTTCTCTTTCAGACCTTCCCAGAATATCACAGAGTTTAATGGGCAGGATGGCTGTGGCTCCAATAGCTGGCACATGGTGGACGTGGACCTTCCACAGGACAAAAACACAGATCCCAAATTTACTCTTCAACATCTCAAGCCCTGGACCCAGTACGCCATTTATGTGAAAGCCACCGCCCTGCAGATGAAGGACGAACACGTCTCCGGGGCGAAGAGCGACATCATTTATATCCGCACGCGACCTTCGTGTAAGTCTGACCAGCAGTCTGAACTGTGTTGTTCAGTGATCATCACAGATACCTCACGCATCATGACTTTGGTTTGTTACAGTGCCGTCCGTGCCCAAAGACGCCCACGCATACGCCAACTCTTCAACCAAGTTGCTAGTGAAGTGGTCACCTCCAGTTTTTCCCAACGGCAATCACATTTACTACCTGGTGCGCTGGCAGCGGCAGCATGAAGACCGGGAGCTCTTCAAGTATAATTACTGCTCCAAAGGTTATTACACAAAAATCCTATGAAATGTACATATTGTTGCTGTTTGAACTTGAGAGACTTGAAAGTCTCTTTGATTGTATTTGAATTTTATTAAAGGTCGTTCCACGTTGGCATTTCTTTTCAAACAGGGCTGAAGTTACCGATCCGGAGCCCATCATTAGAGCCCACAGAGGGGAAAGATCACCTAACCCCCCCCAAAATTACCCGGCCTGGGGATAAAATGGAACAGTGCTGTCCTTGCCAGAACACACCCAAAGAGAAGAATAAGGACAAGCATGACCCCTACTTTTTAAAAGCTTTTGAGAACTTCCTCCATAATGTCATCTTTCTTCCAAGGTATGGTTATTTGTGCTTGTTGGTTGTTGAAGGAAAGATACGTGGACCAGGAATGCATGAAATTGCAGGATAGTAGCTCTGTAGGATTGGGGTTGGATCCCCCTTGACAAATTGCGCTCTAAAACATTTTCAGTTGCTTTTTCAATTATTACAGAACAGAACAGGTGCTTTGCAAAACCATTCACACCGCTTAAAACATAACACAAATTTGATTGTGTTGGAATTTTATTTCATAGACCAACAAAATGTGGTGTGTCATTGCAAAATGGACAGAACATCAATTTCAAAGATTTTTACCAAAGAAATTTGAAAGCTGTGGCAGGCGTTTATGTTCGTCTGATACTTAGAAGCAAGTTGAGTCATGTTTGCTGCAATTAGAACTGCTAGTCGTTTTGAGATGCGTTTCTATCTCATTTGCACATCTAGATAGTGCCCGTCTAGATGCCCTAGTTTTCTTTGCAAACTATCTCAATTGACACTGTATGGAGAGATTTTGTGAACAGAATTTTTCAAGTTTTGTCACAGATTCTCAGGTGCCTTTATGTTTTGACTTTAACTGGGCCATTCTAACACTCAGACAACACTGTAGCTCTGATTGTATGCTTAGGGCTGCTGTCATGCTGGAAAGTGAACCTCTGCCTCAGTTTCACGATCGAAAAGCAAGAAAACCCTAGAGACGGCACACTGTTAGTTTTCTTTCATGCGTGGTGTTTTGTATGTTTACTAATTAGTGACTTCTGAAGACAATTAGTTGCACTGGATTTCACTAAGGGGTATTGAAATAAAAGGGGTTGTGTGTAAGCAGGCAGGCTGAACAAGCATAATGGAACCGAGTAGATCCAATGAGCTTAACCTCAACACGCTTCAGGGCTTCATGCTGTTTTGGTTTGAAGTGTGACTTTGGAGGTGTTGGGACATGGAGCAGTCCTAACATATTTTGCTTTGTTTGATTTATATAGTTCTACTCTTCTAAGAAGCATAAAATCATTCGCCTTGAGCAGCCAAAGTGTGCACAGGCTCTCCTCTGTAATGGGGCCACCATTATTTTACACCAAATCCTGGAGGATTTTGTTCTCTTCAAAAGTTCAGTGTTTAGACGCCAGGAGGGGGGAAAGAGTATCCTTGAAAAAAGAAACAGAAAGGAGAGGAAATGTTTTCCATTTTGCCCCCACATCCCCCTCCACACACACACACACACAACACACACACACACACCTCCTCCTCCCCCACCACCCCACGGCTCCTCTTGCATGCTTGCTTTGTTTAAGATGCTTTTTTTCTTTTTTTTTTTTTTTTTTTTTTTTCCGGTGTGAAACAGCTGCCAGGAAATGTACAGTGAGTCCATCTGGAATTTAAATGAAAGGGGGAAGAGTCCCCACCGGGAAGATATACAGTGAGCAAAGTAGCATTAGCAGACTAATTTACAGGAGGAGAGACGGGCGGGATGAAAAAGAGAAATGCTTTGGCAGTTTCTGCTTCAGAGACCTCAAAGACCTGTCATCGGCAGACGGGAGCGTTTAGTTACTGTAATCACCTGCTGTTGTGGGTGGTGATGAATAGATACAGATGAATTGATAGGGATTTCCTGGATGCTGCCACATCTAATTTGCTTTACTCACTGGAGCCTTAATGTTTAATCACTACTTGCCCCGTCTGAACTTTGTTGTTTCAATCTCTTTCTCCCGATAATCAGCCAAGCAGGAGGAGGAGGAGAACAAACAATGCAACTAGCTGCTTCAGTCAGCTAAGGATATTTGCCTTAGCTGACTTTATGTGATTCTTTTATTACCTATTTTACTTTTTCTGCTTTTAAAAGTGACTGTCAGTCAGGGTCAGTTAGACTCTTGTCTACGCTTTGATTTGCACTCCAATATCGGTTTATTTATATGTACGGTGTATTGCAAAGTGAAACTCCTGTGCTGGGGTTTGGTTGCTTAGCTGCTGAAGAGACATCAATCAGTAGGAATGTTGACCTGTAAGTGAAGCTGTCCTTCACACCTCTTGTAAGCTCACTTAGTTTAGTTTACTCTTTGTTTTAGTATGACGGATTAAGCATTGCTCAGTGATGTAGCAATGCTTAATGAAGTTTGAGATACAGCTTCAAAACTCAACCCTGCTTTATGCATCGTCCCAGCTGTTATCCCGGCGTGTTGGATCTGTTTTGAGCCGGATTTTGGTTTCAAGGCAAATAGGGCTGAAGCAACAACATACAACACTTTTCAAATACTCAGTTCTAAAAAAAACTTTGAAAATCTCTATTACTTTCATTCCACTTACCAATTGTCTGCTATTTTGTGTTGGTCTATCACATAAAATCTCAGTCTCACCAAACAACATTGTTTGTTGTTATAACGTAATATATTTGGAAAAGTCCAAGTAGCTGAAATACTTTTCCTCAATGCTTTGTGTAAAATCCCCAAAATAGGCTATGTTTCAGTTTGATTTGATCTGAGTCTTATGCAAATGTTAAATTATTTTTTTGTGAAGATTTACAGCTTTTGAGTGTCTCCTCTGGTAAAATTTAATGACTTATTCAGTTTAATAAGTTTGATAAACACCAAACTGTGCATGTTTTGCTGCTTCGAGCAAGTTAACTGGGCCTTACTCTTTTTCTTTTCAGACATTTTTGAAAGCTGATAAACATTTGAGGCTAAAATAAGTAGATTCATCAATTGTAAGCCCTTTTGTTTCTGATTTATCACTCTTTGGTCCATTTCAACTGAGATCAGTAAAAGTTTAACTTGTGGACTCAATGTCCCGCTGTCTCTCTTGTACAACCGATGGTGCTGCCTTCACAGCTGTCACCGCCTTCCCGCCCTCAGTGGTGATGATGTGCAGTTCCAGGAGGCTCTGCAGCTTATCATCTGAATTCTGGCACCGAGAGTCAAAAATCTGTAACATTCTGTGTAACATTCTGAGCTCTGGGCGTTAGGAATGAAGACTAAAAAATGATCTGTCAGGACAGTTTTCTCCAACTGGTTTTATTCTTTATTGTTACATGTCCACAAACGATGTTTTTTTCCATATTGTTTTTTATGTAATGTGGAAAAAAACATGTTTTTTTTTTCTCTGTCTACTTTGCAATGATCCATCTGACCTCATTCTTTAACACAGCACTGCTGAGACTCATTGCAGACCATAGAAACAAATAGTTCCAGCACACTTCTGCAAAACTTTATTCGACTTTAAGAATAAAGCACTGGTAGTTAATAAAACACAATTGCGTAAGTGGAATTATAAGGTTTTTTTGTTGTTGTTGCCCAACTTCTTATTTTTTTAACATATGTTTTGTTCCTTTTGTTTTAGACCTCCAGATCGTCGTCGCAGAGACCTTTTTGGTCTTGCTAACCACACTCAGCTTCACGACAGCAGTCAGGGCAATACAACGCTTGGCTCAGGGGATAATAGCACATATGTCATCCCTCCTGTCATTGAGTATCCCTTCCTCAATGACAGAACCTCAGCAGGATCTTTAGAAATCTCTGGCCTGCAGCCTTTCACATTGTACCTTATTGAAATCCACGCCTGCAACGAGGACCTGGGCTACAACTGCAGCATCGGAGCTTTTGTTTTTTCTAGGACTAAACCTGCCGGTAAGGAGAGAACGACCTCGTGAGTTTTCGTGAGAAAATCTATAGATGGTTATGTTATTGTTTTGTGTGTGAAAAATGTGTTTGGCAGCCAAAGCAGATGACATCCCTGGGAAGGTTGTCTATGAAATTTGTGACAAGACCGAGGGGTGTGTGGTGCTGCACTGGTCAAAGCCTGCCATGCCTAACGGACTTATTCTGATGTATGAGATCAAGTACCGTCTGGGGAATGAGGTAATTCTGGCAGGGTATAATTACAGACACTTTACACTTTACTATATGTATGTTGCTTGCCATGTTTAGTGGCACCTTTGATAAGGATGTGAAAAAAGCCTTTAAGCAAAGCTGTTAGTCTCCTATAAAATTTTGCAAGTTGTAGGATACAGAGTGAGTGCTCTTTCAACTTTCCTTTTTGCTAAATACTTTCCTAAATCCTCCAGTCCTGGATCCCATTTACTGTTTCTGTTAGGGGGTCACCCGATATTTCAAAGTGTTTAACTTTGTGCACTTTGTGAAGGTTTATTGAGACTTTGGAAGAGAAACAGGCCCATAGCTACACAAATCCTCCACCGTACTTGAAACTTAAACCACTGTTCAAATCAGTCTTCCAGAACCTAAACTCTGATATAAGTAGAACATTTGTTTTGTCTCAGACACTACGCTCTAAAGTGAAAAATGAAGGTCAAAAAAATAACATAAAGTGAAAGTGATTCAGAATGCTGAGAGAGTAAAACAGGCAAAGCTGTGTTTTACGAAAAGTAACCACTGTTAAATTCTTTTCTCCCAGCCTGAGAAGCATAAATGTGTGTCGCATCAGCAGTACCACAAATTCAACGGAGTTCGCTTGACGATCCTGAGCTCCGGGAACTACTCTGCTCAAGTGAGGGCCACGTCTCTGGCAGGAAACGGCTCATGGACAGAGAGCATCTTCTTCTACGTGCCTCCGCCTAAACGTAAAGCAACACTACAACATTTTAAGATTGTGCATGTGTCCAGTAGAATTCCCTGTCCTTAGCCTGTCCAGAACTTTTAATGTCAAAACTATCTTACCTGTGATCATGAGAAGAATTATTAGACTGTCAGAATTTTATAATTTTATTTTGAAATCAAGATTTCAGAGTATTAAGGAAGAGTGTAGAGGCACATAATCCAAGTTGGTTGGTTTAGTGTGAAATTTCCACAGTCAGTGAAGATTTAGGGAGGCAAGCCATCTGCTACGCTGTGCAGCTTACCTGCATTACTGCTGCATTACTGAATCACTGCATCACTGCAGTGTGCAGTGATTCATGCAAAAAGATCAAGGATGAACACAGTTTTAGTTGGACATTTTCATATAAAAAAAACAAAAAAAAAAACATGTTCTTAATCCCTCTGGTACAATATTTTATTACAATAGCTTTTTGCATGAAATGTATCACTACGTTTGTAATGAGTTACGTTTTGCTTTTTGAATTGAATCTCTGAAATAAGTGTAGAATTTCCTAAGATGCACCAAATTCAGCCGTCGTTTTTCTTCATTCCGTCTCTCAGGAGATGATTTTGCGACTCTCTACTTGGTCATCATCCTGCCCATTATAGCGACTCTCGTAATCGCAAGCCTCACCACCATTCTCTTCATCATCAACAAAAAGAGGCAAGTGCTCCCACTTACTAAGCGGCATTGCTCATGAAGCGTAATGATGAGAGTAATGTTATTTAGAGTTAATAGGTGTATTCATTTAGATCCCCCCTTTGGGGAAGAGCAGACGTCCTATTGAGGACTAAATATTGCATCGCAAACCAAAGCTTGCTTGTCAGCTCACTGAGCCGGGCTTGTGTTTCCAGAAACAACAACAGACTTGGGAATGGAGTCCTTTATGCATCTGTCAACCCAGAGTACATCAGTGCGGCTGAAAGTAAGAATGTCAAACATCTTTCTCCGACTTCTCAGCTGTACTGTTTGGATGTTTGTGCATGTTGGGTTGACCCTGCGTATGATTTTTTTTTTTTTTTTTTGCTGCAACAGTGTACACTCCGGATGAGTGGGAGGTGGCCAGGGAAAAGATCACCATGCACAAGGAGCTGGGGCAGGGCTCCTTCGGCATGGTGTACGAAGGCACAGCCAAAGGCGTCATCAAGGATGAACCTGAGACAAGGGTGGCGATCAAGACGGTGAACGAGTCAGCCAGCATGAGGGAGCGGATAGAGTTTCTGAACGAGGCGTCCGTGATGAAAGAGTTCAACTGTCATCATGTGGTAAGGTGGACTTGTAATAAAACAGCTGAAAAAACACAGACAGATGGTTAAGAATAACTTCATAACGGCTCGGGAAATGGCAGAGTGCTCACCATTATCATTACTTCCTAATTATTCTGCATGTACGCAAACGGAGAGAGGGGCCAGCAGGGCAGGAGGAGCTGGGAGCTTGTAGTTCTCTGCAGCTGTAGCCCGAGGCAAAGAAACTGCCTCCTGGAGATTCTTTACATTCTCGCATCAATGTGATCACGGGCTCATTAGCCGCGTTAAATGGAAGTGGTAAAGATTCCCCTTTTAGAACGCTGCTCCCACGGGTTCATGTTCGTGTTTCACTGATAGAAAGTCAAGTGCTCCGTAATTAAATTCACTTTGAATAATGTAAAAGCTTGTTTTTCCCTTTGTGATCTTCAGAGCTAGTTAAAGATAAATAGTGCGCTTCTTAAGTATGCACTGCAATTCCACTACAATATTATGAATATTTTAGCTTTGTGACATTGTGTTGGTTTCTCTGAATTTGTGCAGCCGACTTATTTTCTGCTGCTGTTGACGTGTAGGTGCGGCTGCTGGGTGTGGTCTCTCAGGGACAACCAACCTTGGTTATCATGGAGCTGATGACCCGCGGAGATCTCAAGAGCCACCTCCGTTCTCTTCGTAACGAAGTAAGCAACGTCTCCCAACACACACACACACACTCTCACGCATTCACACAAAAACCAGGGGCCAGAAGGTAATCTGTACTACTACATTGGTTTAGCACTGTTTAATCCATCACCTGAATTGGGAAGAATATAAGAAAATGGGAAGACATGGCTGTCCACCTGACCTGACAGGACAGGCAGGAGAGTATTAGTCAGAGAAGCACACAAGAGGCCAATGTTAACTCTGGAGGAGCTGCAAAAGTCCAGAGCTCAGGCTGGAGAATCTGTTGACAGGACAGCTACTAGATGTGGCATCAACGCTGGCCTTTGTGGAAAATTTGCGGGCAGGATTCCATTTTTGAAAGAAAGCCATAAAAGGTAGTTTTGTTTTTTTTATTTATTTATTTCAATTTGCTGTTTTGTTAAGTTAGCTGTCTATTTTTAAAGCTTTTTATAATCTGAGTTTTTGTGTATTGCAAGCATACGCATTAAAAACAAGGACAGCACATTAGAGGGCTTATTTCACCATTCCGATCAGAACCATATTCATATTAAAAGCTCTGTAGACTTTGTGGACATATGTATGAAATTAGTTTTAAGTTTCTGAAAACAGCCTAATTAAATGGATAAAACTAATTTTGTTAAAACCATCGGGCCAGCTTATAAGGTCTCCTCATCTTCTCGTCTTGCTGCGCAACAGAACACCACCTCTCAGGTCTTGCCCCCGCTGAAAAAGATGATCCAGATGACGGGGGAGATTGCAGACGGCATGGCTTACCTGAACGCCAACAAGTTTGTCCACAGAGACCTGGCTGCCAGGAACTGCATGGTAACGGAGGACTTCACGGTGAAGATAGGAGGTGGGTCTCATAAATGTTGGGTGTTCCTCTCCCACGTTGCTCAAGGCCGAACTGATTCCAAGTGAATGCCTAAGGCAGTGGGGTCTTAATGCAGACAGACAGAAATAGGGAGGATGTGAGAGGGAAAATTTTTGCTTTCATGAGTTTCCTGTGAAGAGATACTTGGTGGCTCACCCAACCTTTTTGTTCTTTTTTCCGTCAGATTTTGGCATGACCAGAGATATTTATGAGACGGATTACTATCGGAAAGGAGGAAAGGGCCTGCTGCCAGTTCGGTGGATGTCTCCAGAGTCACTGAAAGATGGCGTCTTCACAACAATGTCTGATGTCTGGTACGGGAACAAACTGCTCACACAAACACGAGGCTGCCTTCCCTCATACATGTATGAACCTGCTTCAATCCGGGGGCTTCAAGCCGCCTGCATATTTTCTCTTTGTGTTGGATAATACTCTAAAACTGTTCACGCTGTGGGGTCACAACTGTATAAACCTACAGATCATTTCACAGCCAGGATTCTTTACAAGATTTTCACTCAACAGTTTGAACACGAGTTTCCTGCCATGACAGCTTGTATTTCCAAAACATCAAAATCTTTTTTTTTTTTTTTCTGTTTGGGTTTGCTGGCTTGCTCTTTGCAAATTCCTTCCGCTCTACAAAACACTATCTCTCTCTCTCTCTCTTTTTTTTTTTTACTTTGTATTTCTGAGCCTACAGCAATCTCACATTTTCCCTACCTCTGTAGCAGTCTCACTGTTTACTAGCTCCCCTGCAAGTTTTTGTTCCCCAACTCAAAGTGTCCCAAGGATTAGTTTGCAAGAGTGGGTATAAACTGCTCCAGATGTTCACAAATGAGAGCTTGTGTTTACACCACAAACCCACCTTCACATCATGTGTACTACATCCTGCTCCTCTTTGATGTTAAAGTTTAGTGTGGGACAAACCAATTATGGGCTTCATGAGTAGTGTGTTAATCAGGAGAGAAGGAACACTTCCTGAAACATATAGAGTGTTGTAATATGGTTAATTTGAAGGAACTCTTTGAAAATAAGACTGTCAAAGAGTAAATAAACATGAGGTGAATGCAAACATTTTCTTTCATAGAGAATAACATTTATTTATGCAGCATGTACAGCACTTATCACAGAATTAAATAAGTGTTTCACAAAATACAGCAGAAATACATGATAAAAAAAATTACGACATTAAACAAGAAATTAAAACAGAAAACAGCCACAATTTCATTGAAGTTTAATAATTTGTTTCTTTCTTGTACAAATTAAGTTGCAGGTAGTTTTCTCCTAATCACTGCTTGATGGTCATCAAGCAATTGGTTATAGAAGACAATTTGTAGACGTCTGTGGGCTTGGAGGAGAAAAATAGCTAAACATAATCTCTAAAAACACAAGGAGAAACTTGGTGAACCCGACAGAGTATCTTTGCTAAAATATTTATTTTTAAAACAATATGAGCCTTAAGACAGAATCCTGTTCTTGTCGGTATTAAAGGACAATAGGGTTAAAAATGCAAACCCGGATGCTTTCTAGGGTCAACACCCTGAGTAACAATTTCTCTTCTTCTTGAACAAAAAAAAAATAAAAAATCTTAACCAAACTTGTCAATCACATCAGAAATCAGAAGAACTTAAAATTAGACTTGTAAACAGTCTATATTTAGACTTATTTTGCCGTTTACCCTCATGTTTTCTTGTTGACATATTTTGGACATGCAGGTATGTCAGATCGTCTGCCTGTTCGGTATTATTCTCACAACCAGAAACGGTCTGAAGAGTGAGCTGGAAGGAGGACAGGATTCAAGATGGACACAAAAAAATATCACTTCGTTTTGTTTGCATTATGCTTCAAACTGACTGTTTTGCATTTTGTGCTAAAAAAAACATTGCCCATTCATTCTTTGCTCCAAATAAATACAAGTCTATGCCTGTCTTATTTAAGATCTCTGTTCTACTTATTTGATTTGGCAAGAATAAGTCTATTTCATAAAGGAGTAGTTCTGATATTTTTTAAATAAGGGATTATATTAGAGGTTCTAAGTAGTCAATATCTTACAGATATTAGTTGCAGTTCATCCCAGTACATCTGCAGTGTATTTTTGCTGCGAGAAAACAAGAAAACAAAAACTCCCGCTAGTTTAATGAGTGTTTATTTGACTTTAAATGAGAATGTGGAGAATTTCAATGTTTTTTAAAGAGATATTAATTGTAGAAGAATTTTAAAGTTTTCTATTTAAACTCCAGAAACAAAAACCTTTCGTTTCATGTTTGTTTTTTGATGCAACTCCGCAGGTCATTTGGTGTTGTGCTGTGGGAGATCGCCACCTTGGCTGAACAGCCTTACCAGGGCATGTCCAACGAACAAGTGCTGCGCTTTGTCATGGAAGGGGGACTCCTGGACAAACCCGACAACTGCCCGGACATGCTGTAAGTCTTGTGATCGAAAGAATGAACTGCTCTCTGTGCCTCTTCTGTCCCGTCAATATTTTACCACGCGTCTATTTTAGGTTGAGGTTTTAAGAGTAAGAGATACCGCGTGCACACACTGCAGTGAGGGCTGACATTAAAGTCAGCGGTTAAAAGCAGCCGGTTGACGGCATGACTTAGACGGTCAGCTGGCAGCCGGGAGCCTCCTCACTCGTCGATATCGGCCCATAGAAGGAATGCCACAACCGGCGTGTGAAAGATGCCGGTCATTCCGACTGTGGGAATTGTTATCGAGAGGGACAGGCAACAGGAATAAGCGCATCAGAAGCCATTAACATATTTGTGATTTATTTGTGAAAACATTCTTGCTTTCTGAGAGGCGGAAATAGAAGACAGATGACTTGTCAGCGTGTAGAGCTGCATACACTGTATGCGTTTCTTTGACCTCAATAAGAAGGCATTCTGTGCTCTCCCCTGCCGCTCCACATGGCTGACCTCACCTTAGAAAGAGAGCAAGCAGAACAAAAAATAGGGCTGAGTGTTGTGCAGGCACAAACCTCCGGTTTCTATGGCAGCCCCAACAGTTTTGTCCTGATTACAGGAGTGTGTGGATTGTGTTACAGAGGTGGTGCTGGAGTAAGGGCTTAGCTTTTTTTTTTTTTTTTTGACTTTGAGCGGCATGCAGTGGAGTCAGGCCATTGCTCATGGCCGCCTGTGCTTTGGCATTTTAAAGGAGACTTGAGGAAGACTACTGAAGCCAGACATTTAGACAAAGAGCGATGAATAGAGGGAATAACACAAAGTGGAAGTAGGGAGGAGAACATGCAGTAAGATGAGTCATATTTGGATGTTTCTCAACATCTCCATGCAAAGTATTCCTCAGGTAGCTGTGAGTCACACAACTTGCCTACGGACTAAAGTTGTTTCTTTTCAAGCAGGGTTACGAACAAAAGGGACTACTTTGTGCCAGTCACTTTTATTGACAACTCTGTTAAAGACGTATTACAAAACGTACAATGAGCCAGTTTTTATTGTTGCAGTACAATTATTACGGATCATTTATCCGTCCATTTATTACACCTGCTTGCGGGGTTATGGGGCTCTAATAATAGGTTTAAAAGAAGTGTAAATTGAGGAATTCTTTACATTTGTGTTTCTTATGAAGTCTAAAAGTTTCAGTAAACCAGGGGTCCCCAAACTTTTTCCTGCGAGGGCCACATGACTGTTCCCTTTTCTGGTCGGGGGCCGGTCTTAGTTTTTCGAGAAAGAAACCTTAGAAAAGTTTTGTTGACAGGGGGGCTGGGGGGGAAGAGAGAGTGAAACTGTGGACCT